CACCAGGGTGAAAATCATACCAGCTTGATCCTTTGTTCCGATTGCGCAATGAAATTACTTTTTCATCAAAGCATTATCATTAAGCTCCATAAAACAATAATCATCCTGACAGACTTGGAGCCCCAAGCCAAAGTAGCTTTTGATTCATGCCACTTATTAAAGAGATACCTTTTAGCATGCAGCTGCTTTTGCCCTTTTATCAGGATTCAGGGCTACTGCACAAATCCAATGCCCGTCCAATATTTTCTATTCTGGCCTGGCTCTCCCACTTTGAAAGTTAAGACTCCAGAAACCCATGGATGGACTCTCCAAGCTTCCACTGGTAGCAGGACCACTGCCTTTGATGGCAATGACCCTGATCTTAGATATATCTTCAACCATCAACACATTGGAGACTATGGTGATATGGTCCATTGCCATTTTCCAATGACTCTAATTCCTAAATCTAAGGATTAATGTGCATTACTTGAATTATTGTTATATTTCAACCATCAATCATTCATGTAGAGATTTTCGTCTATTACGTTCTAAGGCAATGTTGAAAATTCTGATCTCGACGGGCATGTCAATGCAATGATAGTTGTCTTATTGGAGTTAGTGACGCTGCTTTAATTGAAAAACCACTTTTCAATTGTCTGATGATGCAACATCATGAACTCAGGATGAAGGATTAAGAAGGAAGAAAGAAAAAAAAGAAAAGGAAGACGACAGCTTTGGTGAAAGACGTACAATGATTTTAGTGGCACTCATCACAAAAAAGTGCTCAGACTGAAAAAGCTTTAGACCCATAAAAATATTTTTTAAGAAGACATGTATAGGCAGATGTCTTCGTGGGGTATATGGTCCTCATGGATTCCTGACCACCATTTTCCCTTCTGTAACTTATACCAGAAGCCCTACTAATCCAGGAGCAGACCAATGGAAAATCTTTTGAGGAGCGGAAACCTGATAGAATTCTGGTGGCGAGTCACATTACTCATTACCAATTAATGATTCTTCTTGTCTCTCAATAGACCTACTCGTATTCTCCTTTGGGGACTCAACAGGGACCTACCTACACTATAGTTTCACACATTTCCTAAAAGTTTTTGAAGAGTTTACTCCAATCCCACCCTTTTCACCATACCCTATAGGAGCATTACTAAATTATGGCTTGCCAACTAATTACTAGACAATTAGAATTCGCTCAAAGCAGTTGTCCGGATGTTAACAGAACCCAATTCGTCCTAGGCTTATCTATGGAACGGGAGGAAAATTTGAAATAGAAACGAGATGTGGGTACTTTGGTAGGTCCTGAGTTCTAATGTCTTTGCTTTGTAATGAGAAAAATAATGTTTGGTGACAGATCCATCCAAAGAGGTTGAAGAAAGAAACCTATTTCAAGCTTCCACCATGGCCCATAAGGGATGGAAAAATGGTCTCCAATCACTCTGGTAGCCATTGCAGTGTCAAACAGTCAGCATTGTTCTGGACAAATTGTTTACATCTTTTTCCTTACAGCTTTCAAGTTGCTAAAGACTGTACAGAGATTAACAATGACATTTTTCTTTTTCCCTGCAGTTTTGACTTGTGACAGATGATTGTAGCTGTCTTCTTAGCCCCCCATTCTTCCCCCAGCTACAGAGGCTACTGGCCAATTTTCAATCTTAAGAACTAGGATTTCCCTGTTGAACACTTCAATCCTGACACCAATATTCTCCATATACGGTCAACAGCTCTTGCATCTGACGATTCATATAGATTTGGAGACAGATTTTGAGGAGAAATCTATATGTTCTCTCCCCGTTTTATTGCCTTAATGCAATGGAAAGAGAAGCTATCATACATTAATAATTGTGATTTAACAGAAAAGAAATTTGCAGACAGACGCTGACAATGATTTCAATGAGTTTTTAATCTCTAAAATAATTAGCCCATGTTTTGTTGTGTTATGCAGATTATGATGTAAACCAACCCCCCCCCCCCCCCAACTTTTCAACCAAACATAACTTGATAGCATATCAGAGTTATTATATCGATTGAGATTGACATCTCATCATCTATGGAGAATGGTCCTGCCCCCAGTTGGTCCCAGCTGATAACCACAAGCAACCCTGTCTCAATGTCCCTGGTGATTCCTGCAATTTACCTTTCTCTTCCCATTTTGATTCTGGGTTATTCTTGGTCAAACCATGCTCATTATATTAAGATATATTTGCTCTAGATGGACAGATTAAGCGGGAAAACTCCTTATTTAGTAAATTAAGTCCAATAGAAATCCAATAGAAAGCCTTTAATGCTATGTAATCATTGTGATTTTGGTTCATAATTTTAAGTTTTACCAACATAAAACTAAGGATTGCTACCAAACTAAGATTAAGATGAGTTAGGTTTTCATACATCAACATCTGCAAGATATTATATAGTATTGGTCAGAAGGAATTAGTTGGTTAGTACCATTATTTTGATGTCCTTTGCTGGTATTTTAAACATGATAACATCTCTTTTCACTAACAAAGTGATTAGTCATTGTCATAATCTATACCAGTCCATTATCTTGTCTTGTTCTTCTGTCACTACTAAAGAATTTACAATAATTACATTTAAATAATAGGAAATTAAACATCTTGTTTGCATTAATTGAATACTTATCTCAACCCAATTGGCTTTCTTCATAATTGTTTTATGATTAGGACTTTTGATAACTTCTTGTCAATTTAAATAATAAAACTCTTGTGACCCTGAATGTTTATCTTGAAATTTTAAAATGAATATTTAATTTAATTTAAAATATGTATAATTTCTTTCATTATTATAAGTTATGAATTTATATATAATACCAACTTTTATATCATATTAATTTTTTTAAGACGGATATTTGATTTAAAATTAATTGATCATAAATGAAAAGATAATTATTATATTTACATGATTAAAAATGTTAAAAAGGTGACTGAAATCTCAACAGCTAGCTAATACTGATATGAACATTAAATCAAATGTAAACAAATGGGTGCTTTGAGAGTCGACATCACATGGCTATGGTTGGTGTGTCCATTTCATTTATATCTCAAAAAATTCAAAGAAAAACAACTTTTGCCTTTCCCATTCCTCATCCTCCCAGCCAACTTTCATCATAATAGCAGCAAATTCCATCTGTACATACCATCTCCCTTTCAATAAATAAATACAATAAATAAATATATATATATATATATAGACATAAATACCAAATAATCCTAGAAATAATAGAACAACCCTTAATTAATAATATATTTATTTGAGACTGTAAAAGGGTTAATAATGATTTTTTTTTTAAAAAAGAAAACGCCACAAGACGTGGGGATTTTACCCTTTTTTTTCTTTACGTGTAAGAATTTTAAATTTCCACGTCATTAATTGGTTTTTTTCTCCTTTTTTTTCTACCTTATATTTTTTGATGAGAAAAAAATAAATTTTGCAATTAATTTTTTATTATTATTTTGTGGCGTTGGTCGTGGACTACCGCCCTGCATTCATGAAAGACTGTAGTTTTGTCCTTTGAGGATATTGCTTCTCTTCTCTTTCATTTTATACCTTTTTTTTTCTTTAAATAAAAACATATTTTCCATCTTAATTTAGCACTGCAATAACTTAATTATATTACATAATTGATTATCTAATAAGGGAATATAACAAGTATTATGGGAAGGGTTCAATGTATATGCTTTAAACAAGGAAGTTACAGTGATCTTTCAAGTAAAGTTTACATGTAAAGGAAAAAAAAAGGGGTCAAACTCAATTGTCTAAATACAAGGTGTTAATGCTCATTTATTATTATTTGGACTAATAATTTTTTACAATTCACGTAATTAATAATTGAATTCCATAAAAATAATATATATAATTGATTTAGAATTGTAAATTGAAGATGCAAGTCAGAAATAAATAAATAGAGGGGAAGCAATAAGAAAGGGGAAGAGAATTAAATAAACCCCATATACTGCCTATCAGCAAGTCTTCCAGGACACCCAATTACTGTTTAGTTGGCAAACATGTGATTTGTGCAGCTTTTGCCTACAAAAGACCAGCCCATTACTTTCAAATTATTAAGGCACAAAGGTCACAAACAACACTCGCTTGCCTCCAAAACCTCTCAAATTCTCAAACCCAAACCCCATTTTCTGCCATTATAGCAAAAAACCTTTCCTTTTTTCACGAGCCAAGTAAGGGAAAAATAGCTCTCATTCCAAAGAGATGGAGTCAACCCCAGTAACCCACCATCATATATCATTGCCACTTCCTTTTAACTCTTTTTAGCAAAACTGAATGAAGGAAAAAGGCTCATGCAGTTCTTCTGGAATCTTAAAAGGAGAAAGCTTTGAGGGGCAATGTGGGTAAAAATGGGATGTGAAGGATGCTATTAGTAGTAGTGAGTGGGGAAAGAGAAGACGCACGTTGATTCATGATGACGCAGTGTTTCTGCGTGGAGTTTATGTCCGGCTCTATCTTGTTTCCAAGATGCGCATTTTTTGCCTTTTGCAAAGCTCTATCTTTCTCTTCCTCCACTTCACCTTTCATTTAGGACGCTTGCTCTCTGTTTGTTTGCTTTAAGTATAATCTTCCAAGCAAGACACTGCTGCAAACCTAGTAGCCTACTAACTTGTTCTCGTTAGAGTTGTGTTGCTGTTGCTTCTTCCAATGATGTTAAAATCTTAAAGCTTTTGTCATTTAGTCTTACTTGCCGGGAGGCATTGAAGTTTGTCGGTTTTGTAATGGAAAGTTTACCTTTTTTCTGTTAAAAGGTCTGGAATCTGATCACCCTCTGTTTATTTTGGTGACGTTTTGAATTTTCTTTTTGCATTTAACTTATTGTTATTGTTGTTTGTGTTATCTTTATTGAATTTTAATTGTGTTTTTTTTTTGCAGATTTGGTAGTGAAGTGATAAGAAAATGAATACCAGAGTCAGGGCGTCTCTGCAGTCTAGGAAAGTTCCAGGGAAGCATGAAAAAGTAATCACTAATCACAGTCATCAAGAATTTAATCAATGGCTACACTGGGGTCCCTGGATTACTGGTTATTATTTTATTACTATGTTGTTTTGAAAAACGGTTTGTACCGTATAGAGGAATGTAATTATTCCTCAATTATCTTGAATTTCAAGGAGACGCTCTCCAGGGGCTCAAAGCTCCTGGAAATTTTTGAAAAGAAAGCATCTTTCATTGGAATCCAAGGTGGGTTTTTTCCAATTTAAATCTTAAATGAAAGAACTCTTCTATACCATTCCCTGGGATTGTGAACTTCCCTGCTGCCACAAGAAATCCTCCGGGCACCTTCATTCCTTATTAGACAATGATTTGGTTCTGGTTTATTAGTAGTTCTGTGATTCTTCCGTTATCTTATTCTGATATGCAGAATAGCTGACTGTTTGTAACTCTTTTTCTTTGAAGGAGAAGGTAGAAATGCAGGGGACGAAGCCAACAGTTGCCACAAAGGCAATGAAAAATCGACGAGCCTCAAGCAAAGAGAGAAAAATGGCCCTACAACAAGATGTATAGACTTCTGTTCTCAGACGGTGTTTCAAGTTTTTTTATTTCGTACAACAATTCACTCTAGGACTTCATTTTCTCATCTCTTTTATTGATCAGGTTGATAAACTGAAGAAGAAACTGAGACAGGAAGAGAACATTCACAGAGCTCTGGAGAGAGCATTTAATAGGCCTTTGGGAGCTTTACCTCGTCTTCCGCCGTATCTCCCTCCTTCTGTTAGTAATTTCACCATCTTATTGACTCCTCACCTTGGGTTTTGTTATTTTTTTCTTTTTCAATAATTTAAAGAAATGATCAATTGGAAAAAAGGATCCTTAACGCCCATTGCAGTTAAAGAAATTTGAAGGAAGAAGCAGAGGAAGTGATCGTATTGCACATTTTGACATTTTTTAAACGGGAATTCTAACGCTGGATTCTGTTTTGTAGACATTGGAGCTTTTAGCAGAAGTGGCAGTACTGGAAGAGGAGGTTGTCCGGCTCGAAGAACAGGTGGTTCACTTTAGACAGGACTTGTATCAAGAAGCTGTCTATATATCATCGTCAAAAAGGAACAAGGACAATTCAGCTGATTTGTGTGAGCCTAGCCTCGATAAGAGTCCTAAACCTGAGCAACCTAAGATTTTAACTCGAGATACATCCATGGCAAGGCATTTGCAATCCTTTTCGGGTAAGCTTTTGGGTTGTTCAAATAATGCCATTAACATTTGATACATACACCTATTGAATTGGTATTGAAGTGGAAGTAGGCTCTAAAACTTACTCCTCATTGTTCTTTCAGATGATGGAAGAGGAAAAGAGAACCAGTCCTGTTCTAATTCCACAAAGAGCAACAAGGGATCTTTGGTACATAAAAGCCAATCAGCAAGAACTCCAGTGAAGAGACCTCTGATTGATTCAAAACCACCAGAGAAAAGTCTAGATCCCCAAAAGTTGCAGGCATGAACCAGTGTCAATTCTATCAAGTTATAGTAGACTTATTTGCAGTTATATGAATATGACTTCTTTTACATGTTCAGCTAGAATGCAGAATCAGAGACCGAGATAATACAGAAGCAAGAATTATTAGCACTCCAGATAAGAAACAGTTGGGAGACGATGAACCGAATAAAGTTTCTGAGGAACTTGTAAAATGCTTATCCAGCATTTTCTTAAGAATGAGCTCAACAAAAAGAAAGTCCACTGCAGAAGGTTTTCCTTCAATATCAATGTTAGGGTCCCAAGAAAGCAGTGAAGAGACAGAATTTCGGGATCCTTATGGTACTTGTTCAAATTTTGGAAGGAGAGATATCGGTCCATATAAGAATTTATTTTCAACTGATGCTAGCTCAATCAATCCAAACCGAACATCAAATTCTTTATTTCTGCTGCGCAGGTTGAAGTAAGTTGCCCGTTATTAGATTAGTTTCTTTGTTCCCTTGATGTATTTTAGCATCTTCCAGTTTCCAAAGAATTCTCATGGTTTTATTTGTTGCATTCTCAGACTCCTCCTGGACAGACTTGCCTCCTCCAACTTGCTGAACCTCAACCATCAGGAGAAACTTGCATTCTGGATAAATGTCTACAATTCCTGCATGATGAATGTATGTGAAGGAAATCTGTGAATATAAATTGAAAAATTGGGTAGTATTACATGTTAACTATTGGCTTAATATGTATTAAGATCCAAACTGATTTTTTCATACTAGCATTTTCACCTGAATTTCTGAAAGTTTAAACTATGGGCTCCCAACCCCACACTCTCTCATGGTGGTAGTCTATCTCTTGGTGCATTTTGTTTCTGCCATCATATGCCTGGTTTACTCTAGTAGATGGAATTATTTATTGCATGATTGTGATTCAGGCGTTCTTAGAACATGGAGTACCAGACAGCCCAAAGATGGTTGTGGAATTGATGAGAAAGGTATGGATGTACCAGAAAACATGGTTTTGTTAGAATGTTGGTGCATTTCAGTGATTCTTAGGATAGTGTTATGTTTCATATGCAACCACGTCAACCTTCTATAGATGAAAAGTCTCCCATAAGTCAATTTGCAATGCAAATCAACTTGTAATATTGCATTTAGTCAGTATTTTTTCACACGATTCTTTATGACGCAGGCAACAATAAATGTTGGGGGACGCTTGCTAAATGCAATAACTATTGAACATTTCATTCTCAGATTGCCTTACCACTCAAAATTTGTAAGTGGTACCTTATTTCAGCTGTGTTGCAATTAAAGCATGATAATCAAGTCTTCCTTGTTATATTTCTTACACTTGAATTCTGCTCAGGTCTTTTCAAAGGGTGTCAAAAATGATGAAATGACTGCCAGGAGCATGTTTGGATTGGAATTATCTGAACCATTGGTAACATTTGCCCTCTCATGTGGAAGCTGGTCCTCTCCTGCCGTAAGTTTGTAACTTTGTATGAAAGAGAAGCTAGGTTTTATTTACTTCTCCACTCAGTCAGCATCCACTTTTGGGATAATTACAAGTCTTTCAGTGGTCCTCACTTATATAATTGACTGTATGCATCAGCCAGTTTTTTACATAAGAATCATTATTCACGGGCACTTGATGTTGTTTTATCTACAAATCATTAGCAACTTGTTTTCTTCTTCTTTCTCTGCTTTTTGGCTCCATTTTAGTTGCTAGCATTGCACGTACTGACACCATATAGTGCTGTTTATTGATTTATCAATTCTGTCAAAATGAAGGTGCGAGTATATACTGCTTCCCAAGTTGAGAATGAATTGGAAGTGGCAAAGAGAGAGTACTTACAGGCTGCAGTTGGAATTTCGTCAACCAAGTTTGCAATCCCAAAGCTGTTGGACTGGTACTTGCTTGATTTTGCTAAGGACTTGGATTCGTTGCTTGACTGGATTTGCCTGCAATTACCTAGTGAACTAGGTAAAGAAGCAATTAAGTATCTTGAAAGAGCTAAAAGTGAGTCTCTTTCACAGTTTGTTCAAATTATGCCGTATGAGTTCAGCTTTAGGTACCTTTTATGCACATAATAAATTTATTTTGTCTTCACTTAAAATTTTGCTTACACAGTTTTAAGGTTGTTAGAGTATTGCTTTTGTACACAGTCTTAGGTTAGATGTAAAACCGAAAGGTGTAATATAGTCTCTCCTATCTTTAATTGTAAGTAGTTGTGACAGGAATGTTCATCAGGGGATTTTTGCATGTAATTAATAAGTACGCATTGGGAAGAGCTATACAGAAAAAGTGATTATTTTTCCAATATGTGCCTACTCTATCTGTAAGATCGATGCCTCAAACTATATCGCAGGATGATCTAGAGTTCTCAATTGAATAATCATCATATGGATAGTAATCCAGGTTTTCAACGATCATCACTGAAAAGAGAGGAACCATGAATGCTTTTGAGAGGATTGCCAACTAGTTGACAATGATAATTCAACAAGAGTCTGAAGTTTCATTCAAGAAAGTTAGGTGTAAGCAGTGACAACCCCATATTCTGTCCGGAGTATTAATAGATCAGCATGCATTGATGCCTCTTTTAAATAGAAACAGAAATGGAATTCCAATTATAAATGCGAAGCCTTGCATCCAACGAAAGCTACTGATATATATCTGATGCAGGAAAACCCCCACTGATACCAAACTTTACCTCTTGTGTGGTCCATAAGAAGCAGCCCAGTTTTTTTTTTTTTTTCCCAAATCGCCTTAGTTGTTTAATCAATGCGTGGAATGCTAAGGTGCCATTTCTCTGCTAGCTGCTGCTATACCATTGATTATGACCCGTTTGCACAACGATTGAAGAGCAATACCAGTTGAAAACTGATTATGACGTTTGTTTGACAACCATTGGAGAGCAATAACAATTCTAGCAGTCTAATTTGATTGCTTGACTATATTTGTCCACCAAACCAAACCTTGATAATACTAATACATCAGCACCTCCATTTTCTTGGCATATCCAAGTCGAATTCACATTAAACACTCCAAGTGGATATGAAGGCAAAGTTACTCAGAAAAAACTGAATAATCCGTGTCTGATACATTCCTATTAATCTGTTGCCTATTCTCAAGTAACACAGACAGATATTTTCCTACGAATTGTATAAGACCACCCACAGAACTAGCTAAGGCCGGGGCTCCAATCATCGTGGTTCACTATAAAACCAGTGGTGTCCAACTGTTGAGAAACCCTGGAAAGAAGGTTGTTGGAATCAAAACTTTGTCTTAGGCTCACAGTGAATTTAATGCAAAAGTGAAGTGGTCCTGACCTTTGTCCCCCCCATATGATACGACCATGTGGACTATATGTATCAGCTACATGGGAGCAAAGAACATTCGAGCTTTTGCAAAGTGATTGTCACAACAATAAAAATCAAAGCTAAAGCTGTAAAGCCTTTTACTTTTTCTGGTGCTTCTCGTACATCGACTATTGAATTACTCGTGTAACATATGCTGTCGTGATAAAAAAAAACAGATGAAACTGACTTAAGCCATGCCATGCGTTCCAGGGCAGTGGCCCTAAATTATAACGTCCTTTTGTTTGTACAAATGAATGCTATCAATTTTTATTTCATAGCAGCATTTTGTTTTGGCTGCTGAACCAGGTACAAAAGTTAAATGATGAACTGAAAGAGTTCTTATTAGAATTTGTAAGTGTTGGATGGAAGGGAAGGCCTGTCAACTGTGTGCTGTGGGTGAGAGGCACTCGTGGTCTTCCAAAGTTTAAGTTCAAATTACTAATAATAGTAGACTTAGATTGTTATATAGGTCTTAACAATCACATTCACATCAAATATGAGATGTTGGATATCACAATTCTATCCACTCAAATCCTTGATATCCTCATCAAGACCACTTATCACATCTACAGTTCACATCACATCCACACATCACATCCACAGTAATGTGAAAGCTCACATCGAACTGACGCAAGCTCTAATACCATTTGTAATAACCCAAGTCCAATCACTGACCTAGCAACTCTTTGAGTCTAAACCACGTAACCCTCAAAAGTTTAAGCTCAAGTTGCTAATAATAATAGATTTAGATTGTTATATAGGTCTTAACAATTACATTCATATCAGATGTGGAATATTGAGTATTATAAATTCATTGCAGTAAATTTTTTCAGGGTGGACGATAACTTGTCAGCTTTGTTTTTCCAGGGAAATACTGATAAAGTTGAAGTTGTTTTAGATATAACATGGTAGTATTGCTTTCTTTATTTCAAGTAACTTAATTTCTAATAAATCAGATAAAAACAACCAGAGTTTTGGGTGGACTACCTAAACGGTTTTTCCGCCATTCACGAAGCTTCAAATGGGCTAAAATCAATCCATAAGTCCCCCTAACTGACACTAGTTGGGTTCAGTCTATTTCTAAAATTGGGCTAACTGGCCTAAAAAGAAATGGAGCTGCCCAAACTTTTCCTGGGCCATTGACCAAGATAAAAATGGGCTTAAATTAATCGTAAAGTCCACTACATGACCCTGGTTGGATCCAGTCTTTTCCTGAAATTGAGTTGCTGGCCGAATAAAAGAAAGATTCGGCAAGTATTCCTGAGTCCATCAGAACCTGGAACTGCCCTAGGTAATGAGAAGTAAGGTCTCTATTTATGTTGCAAAACTGCGATGAACTAAACCAAACCAGCAGAAGTCGTTCCAAGCCCATTCAACCCGAGACAAAGCAGGCAATGTGGCCAAATCTGTCGTTGCACATGAGTCTCTGTATTCATGCTTACTCCTCTTTTCTTTCACTATCCATTGCTCTTGACGGCAGCGAAATGGAAAAAAAATTGGGATTACGAGCTGTGGTTTGATGGGCTTTTTGTCTGCTAGCTTACTAGAGCTCCAAGTAAACGATTTTTCGACATAGGCGACAAAGGCCTCAAAAAGCTGCCACCAAACCAAACGCAGCCTATGCCTAATCTCATTTAGAATGTTGGAAGTGTTCTACCCACAAAAGTCTAACCATCTAGAACTCATGAATCAGTCATAATAGTAAATTATTTAGCACATGTTTGTTGTTACTCACCACTTGCAGATAATATATATTATAAACAGAAAAAAGTTTACTAATCCAATGTCAAGAACATGAGCAATTCAGGGGTCATCACATCTGTTGCCCATAGCAGAAGCATGTTCACACTGTGTGAAAACTTTAAGCTCCATAATTATGGAAATGGAACTGATGATCATTAGCTAATGGTTCCGTAATCTTAATTCTTAAGGTTAAATATATACGCCCCCATTCCACGAAACCCCTGCAGCCAATGATCTTCAACTTTTCACTTTTAAATGGGAGTCATGTGCAGTATATGAACAAATGAGACAATGAGAGCTTGTAATAAATTACGTGTTTATCCAATTTGATTAGGTCGGTTGCATCGCTTTCTTTCTCTATGGTATAGACACAGGTACCAATAGGAAAACTGCATATCACCAAAACTAGAGCTTTCGTTTACATTCATGGGAGAGACTTGAAAAATCTGGGATCTGTCAAAATCTATCAGGAATTGGGTAAATTTCCAGGAGTTCCCCACAGATTTTGGTAATCCCTGACGCCATTTCCAGGTGAAGTTTGTAACGCTGTTGACCCCAAGGCTACTGTTAAAATCATATCATACTTGGACGAAAAGCTACAAATGATGGCATCCATGATGTAAAAAAGAAATGGATGAGGATTTTTATCTATTTTAAAATACGATTATACGTCCATGTCTACTTGTGCTTCACGGAAAATTAAAACCTTGGTGGGTCACCGTGAACGCTCGTATTACCCAGCCTCTTGCCTAAGAAACAAACTATAAATAAACAAGCGTCCCCCATGTGATTGAAGAATCAAATCGAGAAAGCCATATTCCGTGATTGAGTATAGAAAATCAGACATGAAATTCGCTTGGTATTAAAAGGCGGCTGCCTGGTCAAAAAGCTCTACCTTCTATTGTACCAGCTGTCTCTCTCTCTCTCTGATATTTCTCGCTTGTTTCCTCTCGTCTGCTTTTATATCTAAGCCCTTTAACAACCTTTTGGCTTGCCACGCTGCTCCATAACCAACTTGGCCTAGCTATCATAGAGGAAACTGATCAGAATTTTTACAAGAAAGAATGGAAGTGGTGATACCAGCTGCGCCGGTTATGGATTTTGATTTCAACAGCACTAGATCATCTCCTCGCTCGAGTGCTCCTTCTACGCCTAAACGTTTTGGTGACTGTTTCTTCAGTGCGCCGACGAGTCCCTCGCGAATGTCTGAGTTCTATCGTGAATTTGATAGATTCTCCATGATGAAAGATAGGCAAAGCAGCATAGGAAGCAGCTCCTTGGCGATTCCTTTTGATTGGGAAGAGAAGCCAGGTACACCAAAGTCACCAAGAGCAACTGGAAATGATGAGGAAGAAGATGATTTCGCTTTTGATTTTAGTGAGGCCTTGGAGAAAACATCTCTCCCAGCTGAAGAACTCTTTGATGGAGGGAAAATCAGGCCCTTGAAGCCTCCACCTCGGTTACAGGTTGACGAGTGCAACCAGAAAAGCCCACTTTTGTCATCACCAAGGTCGCCAAGATCAGCATTATCCCAAGGTAAAAAGATTATCCGTGAAGCTTTTTCACCAAGAAAGAAAAAGGACCGGGACCCTTTTGCAACTGCTATCGAAAGTAGTCGAAATGATACAGAACATGGAAGAGGAAGAGAAAGAGTTCAAGATTTCTCATCAAGGAATTCAAGCCGTAGAGCAACAAGATCCCTTTCTCCTTATAGAGTATCTGAATATCCATGGGAAGAAGAAGAGAAACAGCAGCAACGTGAAACCACCAAGCAATCACCATTGAATTCAAAGCCTTCCTTGCCTTCAACCTCGTCTAAGAGTTCTTCCAGAAAATGGAGATTAAGAGATTTCCTGTTGTTCAGAAGCGCATCCGAGGGACGTGCGACGGATAAAGATCCATTCAGGAAGTTCTCATCAGCTTTTTCAAGAAACCCGAAGCTGATACCAAGAATTCCAGCAGTTTCCGATCCACCGACAGCTCTGGTTCAGTCGTTCCAGAAGAAAAATATCGGCTCATGAGCTACATTACACAACGAACAAAGCGGTATCCGAGGACATGAAGAAGAAAACTTTCTTGCCATACAAACAAGGTATCCTGGGGAGACTAGCGTTCAATCCTGCCGTCCATGCCCTTGCCAACGGATTTGGAACACTCACACGTTCATAAACCATCATCATCGATCCTCCATTACTTTATTCCAAGTGATCATTTCATTTGTTTGTTGTAAAGATTATCCTTTTGATTATTCCTCTGAAAGTGTAGAATTCGTACGAGGAACAATAATCATGAGTTGTCTGCAAATCAATGAAAATTTTCGTGTTGCATGCTAATCAAAGCCTTCCATTAAATTCCCAAGGCTTGGTAGCGCCGTCCCCATTAAACCCCGTTAATGATGAGCAAGGGCCCAAAAAAAGGCAATACAATGAACTTTAGTCAATGCTAAAAATGGATCGAATGAAAGGGTTAAGCCCCATAAACAAAAGCCAAATAGGACGTGATTTAGGATACATTTATATCATAAATAAATCATCTAATTAACATGTGATTTAGCCCAAACACGCCCCAACTTTATAACGTTTTAAGTATACGAACTTGATTTATAATAAGTTAAACTTACAGAGTACCATTCCATATATAAATCTCTTTAATTGCAGTCCCCAAAGTACAGATGAACAATCGTATTCTTATACCTTGTAACTTGGATCTATCCATCTTTTAGGGCTCAACAAACCCAAACAGGACGCATCCTACCAAGAAAGTATTATGGTATCAATTTGGTAATAAAACAACAATTTGAAAAGAAAATAAAATACAGGTACTAATCGTGACCTCTAGTCCACGATATTTAACTAGAAAAAGATTGATTCTAGAAGACATAACTTAAATTGGGATAATGCCTGGCTTGTCGACTTCAAATCCATTTTGCAGTTTAAATATGCTGCTATACCAATACAAAATACCTGGAAACCTCATACCCTGACAATTTTCATTGTTTTCTTTAAGATTACAGGCTTGCAGAAGAAAACCAGAGACTAATAGATTGAGATAAATGACCGGGAATAGATTTGATTTTGCCATTAAAATACAATATAGTCGGCTAGATATGGTAAAGGGTATTTGTCAACTTCTAGAAGTGGGAAGGCATTATCTGCAATGAAACAAATGTCAGATGTCTTAATGCCAACCCACTAATCCTGATATCAGAAAGACCCAGTCACATGGCTAAAGCCTAATTGCCTTACTGAAATAAAAGAGAGAGCTGGGCTGGGACCAGGAAATTGGATTTGAGAGGGGAAGAAACAAGGAAGACAAGATAATACTATACGGACAAAAACCTGGCCACGAGTTCCTCGCCTGATAAAAGGATGGTGTGGCAAGGTACAAAATCGATCTGTCGCCTGATGAAAACATCGTGGACAATGTCGGATCGATCTGTGTAGAGAAACTGAGAAGTGGGTCCGAAAAGGTGATGCTTACAATATGAAAGCATTAGGCAAGATAGAATTCAATCAGACTTGTCGGTGGGAGTAGCGGGACATATGAGTTTGGATGCAAAGGCTGGAGCAACCTGCAGCTCATCTAGATAGTACACAAATAGGACCAGCATCTATTTATTAGAGTTTGACTTGAGAGGAGTAACAACATCCGTATGCAGACAGGTGTGAAAAGCCTCGAATCTGTGAGGTGATGGTGAGGTGAGGCAGACGTAGATCATCTGATCAATTAATACCCAAATGCAATATTCTGAATGATGTCTAAAGAAAATCATTAAGGTTTCTATAGAGTCATTGAAAAAATGTAGTTCCATCTTATTAGCAGTTATAACTCTACACAGAGAAGAGGATAAATATCCAGTTGCTTTTCAGTTTCAGATAGATCACAAGCTTCCTGAAAAGAAGAAAACTGTCATATGTCACACCAAAGATTCATGCCATGACTGAAATGCTAGAACCAAACGTTTCTATAAGTGATCAGTCGAAGTTGTCTATCTTGATTGGTGTAATCTCATCTGCAACATTGAAGCGTCCAACCAACCGTGCAAAAAAAACCATTTGTTGTTCTAGTGTGAATTTAATGTTTTCAGCCTGTTCATGTAGAGAATTAGAAATCATGTTTCACTCGGACAAAAATTTGGAATAAGACGACAAGCAGGGTGGTATTTACCTTGCGAAAACCATGTTGTTCTCCCTCATACTCCACAAGAGCAACAGGCAAACCCTTTTCCTTCAATGCCTGGTAGATTTTACGAGCTTGATCAGGGGGTACAACCTGTGACATGTAAAGAATAAAGATTATTCAAACTTCAACTTCGGGAAGATCAGAACCATCAAACCTAATGTATCAAAATTTATGGAAACAAAGTTTCAACCACCATCAAGCTTAGTTGTCCACAAATTAAATAATTATATAAACCCCTTGATCTTCAAGGAAAAGAAATGCACAAATTATACATAATGAAGCATACTTAAATTGCATAACATTTGTCGTAAACATATTTTCAAGCAATGAAGGTGATAAATATTATAGGCAGGTTAACTTGATCTCAGCTATTACTTAGTGCACAACTTAATTTCAAATCAAATTCTTCTGTTTTGCTAAAGAAAGAGAATTAATAACAACAAAAAGCCTCAACTGTGGTCTTATGGCACATTCTGCCAGTCTCCAGAAATACCACTGAATTAATAATAAAGCCCTTGATCTTCATTACTATGGACCAAAAAAGAAGTCTTGAAGAAGAAAACATTGGTACCTTATCTTCCAATCCCTGGAAGAGAATGATGGGGCAAGAAAATTTATCAACAAAATTGATAGGTGACCTCTCAAAGTAATCCTTCTCACTTCCTGCAATTGGTCATGGATAAGATATCCAATAAATGAACACAATTTAAAAACAAATCCGGCATTGGTTTTTCTTTCTAATTACCAACAAGGTTATCAAGATAATGAGATTCAAATTTGTGAGTCTCTGCCCTCAACAAGCTCAAGTCAGCTACCTGTTCACAGAGAAACACACCATATAATAACTGTCAGTTTTCCATCTCATGTTCATAAGATTAAAGGAAACATATGTACAGTATCAACAAATAAAGAAGATAAGGATAACAGAAGGACATTTCAACTGCATTCTTAATTATTTACAGGGTCATCCAGACTCAAGATCCAGTCACCTCTTCTGTGATAATGACAATCTTAAAAATCAAATTTTTCTCAGAATACCATTGCCCATGCCAAAATCAATTGAAAATAACTATGAAATCAAGTACTCACACCATAGAGAGAAGCTCCAGCCTTGAACGTATCCCTAAAAGCAAGGGCAGCTAAGGTTGTGTACCCACCAGCAGAGCCTCCTGCTATAAAGAGTCGTTCATCATCTGCCTTCCCCTTCTCCACCTAGAGAAAAGAAGCATGCATTACTACAACTCAGTAATGTTATAATATATCTCCATCCATCACAATTTGAAAACAATTAAAATTCAGACAACAAATTACCAAAAATCTAGCACAGCTGCAGCAGTCATCAACATCAACAATTCCCCACTGCCCCAAAAGTCTCTCACGATATTCTCTCCCATAACCTGCAAAGTTATGCCATATAAGTCAATCTAAGCATCACATCAAATCAGATATAAACAGAAGTGAGTGATCATGTGTGTGTGAATGATTTGCTAAAGGCAAGCAGAAAAAACCAGTGCTTCCGCCATAATTAACATCCACAATTGCCCAGCCTCGACTAGTCCAGTACTGGATGCTGAGGTTCAAAATTCCACGAGTTTCACTTGTAGGCCCTCCTGCCATATATCACATAAAATATATGTCATAATGCATTCAAATACAGAAACAATTTGCTAAGGAACTGGAGGCATCAAGGCAAGGTGCCCTATGTTGGACAAGTTTTATTGAAAGCTAGACATCCATAAAAGCAAGCAGCAAGACGTTTTACACTAACTTTCTAGATAAGCAATTATCATACCATGACTTTCCAACAGCAATGGAGGCCTTTCTTCCTGGCTAGCTTGGTAGAGGGGATTAGATGGTGGATAATAGTATGCATAGGCATTTTGGCCAGGAACCTCTGTTGGAAATTCAATTAACTCTGGCAGACTGAAGTAGGACTCATACTTTAAACTATCTGGTGAAGACGACCAAATAATCTTGAAATCAACTACATTTACTTTATGATCGTCTAGAGTCACCTTCAAAGACAACAAAAGACAGAGTTTATGACTGCCATTAAAGCTTTTCACAATATTATTGACATAAGGAGAAGATGACAGCCTTACCTTAGCCACTGATGAAGGATGAGTTGCAGAGGCTCCCTCAACACACAGACAGTTGTCCCATGAAGTCTGCAAAAGCAAGAACGGTCACCTTAAAAAACCATCATTGTGATTTCTTATGCATGAATTTAAAGGTGATATCAGAAAATGATAAGGAATTTGAAAGTACAATATTGTCTATATCTGTGAAAGGAATATCAAGCAGAGAAATTGAACCCTGAACATCATCCAGAATTCCAAGATATGACCTCCCACTTTGCCTGCATCCAGACGTCCAGAGTATTGATTAACAATAAACCAGATAACATGGGTTTTTCGAAAACAAAACTCATGCATATATTGGAGTATGTTGTCCAGTAATTTTGTCAAAATTACCTGTAGCTGCAGGCAATCAAGGTTTTTTCCACCTCACTCTTGATGAACTCATAAGAATTCATTCCAAAAATCCACAATGGTCTTGAAAACTCAGCATTCAAGCAATAAAGTGGAAGCACCTCATTCTTTGATTCAACCTGTTTCCAGAGATAATAAGAGGAGATGAATTCTGATGATCAATCTACATGATGTCTGACCAGAGAAGCCCACAAAGTACTATAATGCAGAAAACCACTGATACACCACCTCAGAGGAGGAAAAGTGAGAAAGAAAAAAAAAAAGATTTATAAAGTATAACGTAATTTATAAAACAAGATTGATGTCTAATTATCTATAATACTAGTTATAACTATAACAGACAACAAACAAAAGTTTGAGAAGCTGTTAATTTATTGAAAACTGTTGGCTGTGTAAGGACTAAACAAGCAATAGATACCTTGGCATTATTATTCTTTAAATGAAGATGCATCATATAAAATGTTGGAACAATAAATATTGGGCTAATACTGCTGGCAAAAAATTGCAGTTTCAATATTATGAAGAGTGAGCTTACCCATTTATGGAGATTCCAAAATCCACTTTTTCTATCTGTTATGAAAAACAGTTCTCCTGCACAAATTCAAAAATAGTAAAGGATCTGACTCATCAAATGATTAAACAAGTGATGCATAAATCATCCCTTTCCTATAAGACCAGAAAAAAAAATCAAAAGAAAGAGATAAAAGAATCAAATTCATCAGCCCATCAAGGCAACAAAAACATCCCATATGTCAAAGAACACATTATTTCATTCGTGCAAAACTCTAAATTTTAGTGCTTATAAAGCATGATATCACGAGAGTCTATATTTCATATTTAAGGTTGTTCGCATTATTAAGAATATTATTATGGAATACCTGTTGGGGACCACTTTGGCTCAGTGGGAGACTCCACAATTTTAGGATCACTACCAGCTACACAAACACGTTTGCACACATCTCTGCATGACAAACCAATCAATAAATATCAATGATATTAATAGTACTAGAAAATAATAGCATTCATAAAAAAAAATTGGGCTAAAACATGAATTCTCTCATCTCTGAACAGAACAAGTAATCTTTCAATTTGAAGAAGAAAATCAAAGAAATGACAGAAAATGGTTATAGGAATGAAAAGAATGCTGAAGAAGAGCTATAAAACCACTGAAAGAATTCAGCGCACCCATTCTCAGAAATATAGCCAACCCAGAGCTCTGCTTTATCCCACGGCATGTTAGGGTGGCTCCATTCAATCCATGCCATCCTTTCACCTTTGGGGTCCAAGCGTGGGAACGCATAGAAATCATTGCCACTCACTAATACTTTGGGCTCTGAATGTTGACAATAGGAACAAAAATCATGCCTTATAATAATGTGAAACAACAACAATAATGACAACATTAACATGAAAAAATAAAAACCCAGACTCCCTGAAAAACCATATCATAATACAGAGAATTCACATCAAGATCAGGTTTAGTTCCAGAGAAATTTATACCTTGGTTCCCATCATCAAGTGATACAGCTGCGATTGTTGTGGTTGCATTTATACTACTTTCACGGCGATCTATCAAGGTACTAAGGTTGAATCAATAAAAAGGACAACCTGACAACCGCATTAACACTAGAGATAAGCAACATATCAAAAAGGTCTAACCTTCCATTACAGTGATATAACGGTCAAGCCTTGAATCAAAAACTCCATCAGCATAACTCACAACCGGTCCTCCGTAATCTGGAGTAATTGGTACAGGACAAGATCTGCTTTGCAGCCCAGTAACATTAGTTAATTCCAATCAAAACCTTAACTTAGAGTAAAATGGATACAGTGACAAATTTGAACCTTTGGAACTGATTGATTGCTTGTACAATCTCTGATCTACATAGTTGGAGAAAACAACAGTATCCCCAGAAATCCTAAACGCTCCTCCTCCATACTCTTGAGCCACTGTCCGTACAGCAAACTCCTTTGGCGTAATATCAATAGGTTCATCTCCAGGCTTCTCCGCTCCTTTCACAAGAACTGCCCGTCTATAAAAGGAAAACCAAAACTTAGTCGCCAAGGTGAAAATAACATCAAAGGAACATTGGGGTTTAAACAGGTTTAAGGCTTTAGGTTACCCTGATTCAGAAGGGCGTGACTCGAGCCAAAAGAGATGGCCTTGGAGTCAACGGCGGTGCCTCCAAGCCGTTGGAGGCGCCTGAAACGACGTCGGCGGGGATGGGGATTTCCACGAACCGTATGGAGCTGTTATTTTTTGGTCTTGTGATAACGGTACTTGAGCTTGTGAAGAAGCCATTATTTTGTACCTCTGGGGTTGAGTCTTCTTCTTAGTAGCGATAGTGAAGATGGTTCTTTTACTGAAATGGTTGACGGTGAGAGTGGAAGAGAACGATGCCGAAGTATAAGTAGAGAACCGAGTGAGGATCGAAAGAGCCATTGACTCTTTAACTCGAAGGAATCACATGTAAGCGGGTGTATTTAGGTACATAGAGTTTGCGTCATCCGGGATTCATCGTAACCGTTCGGTGTTTGAAATCAAAGGTTTGTTGTCAGTTGGACTTCCAGTGTCGAACCCAAATTCCGGATTCTACGAGTCAAACTCGTACATGCATTTGGTGTACACTAGACAAATCGAGCTTCCCCTGTTTTTTATTCTTCCGGGTCCTTCACATTCATTAGTTAAAAGAGGCTGATTTTGTCGTTTCTTGTACAGTTTTAAGCAATTGACTTTTTGGGATAATTGAATGGGCTTTGATTAGCTCATAAATGGTCAAAGAATATCAACATGGGCCTCGCAAGTTCAGTAGACTTGCAGCGGAAAAATGATCCTCCTTCGATCTACCTACCCTTTGGATCTGATCCAAGAAATTTTCAAGTCGAGAAGCTAGGAAGCAAACCAAATATAAGAGCTCATCCAGAGCACACCTTAGTTTGCTAAAAATATAGTGATTTTTCCTCTATAATTCACTCCAACAGGGTAAATTCAATTGTTACTGAGTTGAATTCTAGTTGAGGAAGAGCTTTTGCTACTCCATACTTTGCGTATGGAGTTCCTGAAAATTGAAACTTATTCTAATCTACCTCAGTCTTTCGTCTCTTGTTTGTATGCCCATGGTTGCATCAAGCTGAACTGCTGGAGATTGATTTCACCTGTCTTACTTTTTTGGCAATTCAAAATCCATCTTTTGCCACTAGCAAACTATTAGAATTGTTGATCATTTTCCAGCATTACCACTCTACTCCCCTTGTCTTTATGTTAACCCCAATCCAGTTTGACTTGATATTGCTATTCTCTGTAAATCGGTTCATAGGCAGACAAATAGTGCATGTTTGCCAAAGCTTTTCAAGAATACTCCATGTTATATGCTTGTGAAAGAAAAAGAAAGACAATGATACAAGGAAATTCAATTCATCCAACTCTTCCATTTGCAATTGCTTCTTGACATCACGTGCTAGTCAATATGAGCAGAGCAAGTGGGGGGAAAGAGGAGAAAGGGGCATTAACTTGCCATAGCCATTAGCCGCTTGCTGTCTGTCTGCCTATTCCGTGCAATTCCACGTGCTGATGTCTCTAAGAATGGAAGTAACCATAAATAAAACATTAGGTTTTGATCCATTTCCTGACACCAGATCACATTCGAGGCCCCAAATCTGCCTAACTAGCTTGGGCCCAATGTTTCCCCTAACTTGTTTTACTTCCACAATTTGCAGCCATTCTTGTTCTCCATAGCTAACGGCCGAGGAGCATATAGCCAGTTGGAAATATGAACCCCTTGGTTTTTTCTTTCAAAAGAAAATCTAGACTGTCACTATGCAATTCAGCAATCATTGTTTTTCGCTAATGGCAAGCATGAGTGCCATGGTATTACTTTCTAAGGATAATCTCTAAAGAAGAAAGTTTCCTTAGTGAGATACAACTGGGGCGCCATAACTACAAAGTATACATGGAGTTAAAGAGGGAAAGTGCATGTAATTTCACATTAAATCAAAACCATTATCTTCAGTAGTAGTAGGGGCTCGGAGTCTAGGCAGTAATTCACATTCAAATCCTCTCATACAAAAAGGAAAAGGACATTTATTGTATTAATGAAGATGGTTATGCTACATACCTACCAATACGCAATTATTTAATTAATTAGTTTGGATGAGGTTCTGTGGATACACAATTATAAAATGCTAGAGCTGGGAACCCTGTCATGCTCTTTTTACATTTTGCAAATTGTAATGTAAAATATTCCAAAGGGGAAAAAAGGGCACCAGATTCAGGTCATCTGGTTCTGATATAGAAGCTGGTTGCACAAGAACTTCTAAAGCCTGCAAAAATAAGCACCTTTCAACGAATATAGAATTGTTTTTGTGACATCTACTTTCCCTTTTGGTCTCTAGAAAGCTTTTTAGTGTGATTTGCCCAAGCTGGTTTCAACAACCAAGACTTGTGTCACAGAAAATTCTTCAGATGCCCATTTTCCTTTTCTCTGAAAAGATCTGTCCGTTGCCAACTCTTTGGTTGGATGGCTACCTGTAATTAGGCTTTTTGCTCAACCTAAACTTAAAACATGATTAAGCAATCATCAAGAATAATTATATGCCCGTCAGAAAGCTTTAAAAGCCTGAGATGCTCACTGAAAAAATTTAATGTCAGAAAGGGTTCGATCAAGGACTAGCAATCAGCTACAGTGACAGAGTTCATTTCTTAACAGGAAAGTAATAATTGCAAAGAAACGAAGACCAGCCAGAAGTCAGGTAGAAGTGCAAGCAAAGAGGGCAATGGGTCGGGGAAGTCCCATCATACGCACAATAATTACAAGGCAGGGACAAAGCACTTAGATTGTAGAATCATTTTAGATTACTTTAATCCATTTGAAACTCTCCCGGGTTTGGATAATAATATCAGAGTCAATTGACTCTGAATGACGTTCGGGACTTGGGAAAAAGTAAGTAGAAGTAATATTCATTCATCTTCAAATGATATCAAAGATTTTTCAAGCCGAAAACACATCAATACCTTTCACTTCACCTTAGCTTTTTTGGTGATTTTATCTTCAAACACAGTCAATGACTTTTTGCTAAGTATTCTAAATCGTTGGTCCAATCCCGCGTCTCTGTTTCCCGTCCAAATTCATTAAATTCCATTAGCAAACCCTGACATGGAGCCCAGGCTGTTAAGCTGTTTAACTCTCACACGCGAAGTGTTTTTTGTATATGAATGTAACCCTTTGTCTAATCAGTCCTTGGGAGGGGGGAAGGGGCAGTGGGCCAAAAGCAGATTTAAAACATTTCAATCTCTACAATCTTGAAGAAATTCTTCGAAGTGTTATGTCAAGATAAAATCGAGCAATTTATTGTAGTGGTCCACGATTACCTATCAGAAAATTGTTGACAGAAATGTACATAGTAATTTTTACTTCTCTGGGTAACATTACAGAAGAATATGGCTACGACAAGAAGATTGATTTAGTATTAATTTCCAGATGTTCGTGGTACTGTGATGATGCCGACGGTGCTTTCTTTTTTGTAATTAGTCTTTTTCAGATGAACCCCTCTCAGACAGTGACCTGTCTTTGTTTCCACATGGCTGCTAAACGTAATTAGAATTGCTTAGATAAGCAACCATTATCAGGGCAAGTGAGTAAGGAAATTTACTCTTTAACTACCAGGGGGTGAGGCGCTTAAATTCTCGAATGATTAGAAATGCTTTAGCTGTAAGCCAAAATGGAATGCACCTTAATAGCAAAACAGTAGCATTATCTTGAGAAAGGATTGGAAGGGAATTCAAAAGAACATGATCAATATTTTAGTTTGTGCGGCTGCCTGAAAGGCCTTTATCGAATAAGACTATGGTCTGACACACAAAAAGAAGGATAAGTAACTGCAGTCACAAGCAAAAGCAAAGTTTCCAATTCCATGGATGAACAGTAGAAAAATTGAGGGAAGATGAGCTGCACCTCAATAATTAGTGTGAGTTTGTAAAAAGCATAAAGCAGGTGATGTTGATGCCCTATGTAATGATCAGAGAGGCACATGCTAAACCCAACATTACCAGAGTCCTTTTTTCATCTTTTTTGAGAGTTTTTTCTTCACCCCTTTCCCCACAAGGTGTGGTCCGACCTCCCTTATCTTATCGCATTCAACTAGCTCTCTTTTTCATCACTAAACTTGGTCACATCAAGCTTTAGTCTCATTTTTCTTTTCTCTTAACCAACTTGTTGGCTCCCTTCTCTTCTCTTCCCCACCTCAAAGATTCCAAGGACAATCAAACCAAGTGACTAACCACCTGCCTAACTCACTCCTTTATTTTCCCGTAGGAGAGCCCACCCGTCCCCTCCCTCCCCTATCCCCCCCTCCCTACCCCTTTCTCCCTCTATTTAGTTTAATCTTTGTCTTTCACCTCAGAATACCTCCTTTCTAGTTTCTTGAATTGGGTTACCTCAACCAAATTCCAAATATGCCACCGGTTCACTCTAGTCCATATTTCCAAATGGACAATCCGGCAATACTATCTTTGCTCCGGCCTACTCCTGGAGAGAAACACCGGAAGTCCAGTAGTGGCGGCCTCTTGCGTATGTTCAAGCTCTTCCCCATGCTAACCTCGGGGTGCAAGATGGTTGCACTATTGGGTAGACCCCGGAAGCCTATGCTGAAGGATAGTGCTACAACAGGTACAATTTTTGGCTATCGTAAAGGCAGAGTTTGCTTAGCAATACAAGATGATCCCCATTGCGTGCCGATGTTTGTCATAGAGCTACCAATGCTCACCAGCGCACTTCAAAAGGAAATGGCGTCTGATATAGTCAGAATAGCGCTAGAGAGTGAAACTAAGACTCACAAGAAGAAAGTGTTGGAGGAGTTTGTCTGGGCGGTGTATTGTAATGGAAGAAAGATGGGTTACTCTATCAGAAGGAAGCAATTGTCTGAAGATGAGCTTCATGTTATGCAGCTTTTGCGAGGTGTGTCAATGGGTGCGGGCGTCCTTCCAAGCCCAAACGAGAAGGAAACGGCCGCAGATGGGGAATTAACGTACATGAGAGCAAGATTTGAGAGGGTGGTTGGATCAAAGGACTCCGAAGCTCTATACATGATTAACCCAGATGGTGCACCTGGCCCTGAACTAAGTATTTTCTTTGTAAGAGCTCATTAGAATTAATCTGTGTTATTCCAGGTTTATATTGTACACTTGAAATTTTACATCAGTACCATAAAAACTATTTCCTCTTGTTCAATGACGGAAAGGAACAGATCACCTTGGCTCTGCTATGCCTATGTCCCATGGTTCAGGTAGCTCATGGTTTTTGCGCTAGGTGCCAAACCTAAATTAGCTGCTCCGTCACTTTCACGTAGTTGAAAGCCAATATCATCTTCTTTTTCTGCCTTGAGAATAAGATGAATGCCGACATACCAGGCTCCCTTTTTCTCAAACTGGACAATGAACATGGATTATGCATTAATGGCGGATAATTTACCTGGTTAACCAAACTTTTAGCCTGGTGTATAATTCAACAGCTACAAATTCTGCAGATAACTTTGCAGAAAACGATAAAGGTGCATGTCTTTTTGCATCAAACATTTTATCCCAGTTAAGTACTTCGAGGAAAGATCATCTACTGAAAACACAATTCCAATTAAGAAATTTTTGTCCCTGTACACAATCTGTTGCTTGAAAGGTGTCAGGGTTCCATGGTTTAATGTAATGGAAAATACTAATGGTTAGCATTCAAGCATACCCAAATATTAAAGTCTGGATGTTGAAGTATCTGATGTAGACTCCCAAATAGATGTTTCTGTGGTGGCTGAAACTCCGAGCATTTACTTTCATAGGCCTCCTAGGCATAAATTCTCGCCACCAAAAACTCCCTGCTTGCTTTTCATAGGCCATATGTGTTGACATCTTGTGCAGACAATCCCTTTCACAATCTATCAATATGATCCTCATTAATTAAGTACAAGCTTTCCTTTAACTTTTGTCCTGAAGTCAGTTTGATTGGCAAATCATGCTTCTATTCAGAAGATTCAAAAACCAAAAGCAACACCACGGGGACTATAGCTAGCTAGTTCTTGCCCATATAGAATCATATGAAAATCCCATTCATCTAAATCAAAGGGGGAGTTGGTGTTCCCATTACAAAAAAAGTATAAAGCTCCAGACAGCTTGATAGGGGCAGAAAAATTGAGAAACAAGTAGACCAACAGGAAAACAAAGCAAACCTGCTAAAACAAAAACTGGAAAACAAGCAGATGCAGAACAAACAACAACAAAACTAATACTACGGTAAGGGTAGTTGTGCAGCCCCATTGACAGGATTATCAGGAATTTGCAAATGCTTTGAAAGTTGAAACAAGGCTGACAAGCAAGATCAGCAAATAAATGGTAAGGGTAGCTTTGAAACAGATTGAGGGAAACCAAAACAAGTTAGAAGTTGAGAAATGGGGTGGGAAATTGAGAATAGGACCAATATATGTACTGCAGACATGGACATATGTGGGATGGGAATTATGGTTGCAGCTTGGGAAGAAGTATTCCTTTCTTGGAAGGAATAGAAAAGTGAAAGCTGGCCCAATCATTGGATCCCAATGTTAGTAAAGCAAAGGTGAAGATATTGGTTTTCCTCCATTGAAGATTAAGAATGTTCCAAGAAAAAAATAAATCAAAATGTTGATGGGGGCAATGAAATGAGAGTGACTGTGGCCATAGATGTAATCAAAGTTTACACACTTTAACCAGAACCATGCGTGCTTGCCATCGAAACTAGCCCATAGATGGCCAACATCAGGTAATATTTGGGCCACTATTCAACCAAAATGCTCAATTCCATGGCTCTTCTCGGTCCACAGCCTTATCGGTCCAACCAAGATGACTGCTAAAAGGAGAAACAATACCCAGCACGCTTTATTTACTAGCCCACAACAAACTTCTATCTCCAAAACCAATTCTATGAAACCAAGTTTTCCTCGTACTCACAAACGTCCGCATTGACCAGAAAAAATACTTTAAAAAATTTTTAAAAATCTTTTATTTTTTTATTACATTCTATTAAATTTTTATATTTTTATTTTTAATCATATAAACTCTTATCATTAATAGTTAATCAACTATACTTAGTTAAAATATCACATATTATTTTATGACATATTGATATATCATAAAAGATGATAACATAAGATATTGATATGATATGATAACATGATATGTGATATTTTTATTTTTTATGTTATTGTCATGCGAGTATAAATTGAGAAATAATATTTTTTATTGATGATAATTAGTTAACTATTAATTATAAAAATTATCTGATTTAAAATAAAAATATATATGTTTAATTGAACGTAATAAAAAAATAAAAATTTATTTAATTTTTTTTAACAATTTTATGATTTTTTTTCAAGCATTATAACTCTAAATGATAAATATTATAAAAAATATGTACAAATATTATATTTAACTTGTGATGATTATAAAGATTTTATATCTTCTTTGATATTAAGGTTTGAATTTTATTAACAACATTTAAGTAATTTTAACTTGATTTAATTTTTGAATATGAATTAAATAGAAACAAAATTGATTTAACACTCGATATCATAATTAAATTTAAAAAAAAAACTTGAAAAAAAATCATGGGCTTGATCAAGATTAATGGTGCTATATTCTTACCCAATCTAACAAAAGAATCAAACAAATCACATTATAATTCACCCGTAAATGGAGTGACTATGAAGTAGCAAGTAAGAAATAGTACCAAAAAAGGAAAAAGAAAACAAAGAAGATGAGCAACCATGCAACCAATGGGTTGACCGGTACAAAGAGGACAAACCACCCCTTGTCCACGCGGAGTCGGGCTAAACCCTCCAAACTTCGTATTAGGACCAAAACCGACCGGCAAATGGGTTGGAAGGAGACAACACTGGGCCCACCTTGATTGCCACGAATCAAGTGGCTCAGAATCTGTTTGATCAGATTAAAGAAAGGAAACAATAAATAAAAAATCTCTCTCTTATCTAAATTAACGACAGGGTCCAAATTCGTGTCCCACAAGTATACAACCGTCAGTAGACAAATATTTAGTGTCTTTGGGGAAAGGATATTTAGCGGTTCTATTAATAAATTATTTTATTTTATTTTTTTATTTTCATTTGTTGGTTGAAAAAAAAAAACCCACTAAAACAAAAGTCGGTGAGCGGGGGGAGGTTTGGTGCCAGCTGGAATATCAACTGCCCAACTGCTTCTTTCTGATCTTACGATCACAGGCCCCACCATGAAAACTCCAAAAGAATGTTGCCACTTGGGCGGCTACGATGCAATCATGATATCAATCCCCCGTTCACATTGCTGGACTCCATTTTATTTATCCTGTTTTTTTTCTTTCTAACGCGTGCATCATACTCGCTATACTATGATATGAACTTTGTTCGAGTGCTTGAGACCCAACTTGCTACATTAAATAGTTAATAATCCAATTGGTAGCTGGCATAATCTTCATGAATAAGCCTCGGTGTCCAACATTCTCTTTATATAGTCTAAACTAAATCTCCATTTTAAAATGTTTTTTCTATATGATGAAAATTGAAATTATAAATAAAATTAAATATCTTATTTATCAATTTTGAAATATCAATTACTAAATTCATAATTGACACTTTTATAATAAATAACTCCTTAATCAAATAATTTTTAAGTATATATTATTGTCACACATTCACATCTATAATAGATGAGGTGAGTTTTAATTTATAAATAAAAGTATTTTTTATTTAATATGTATATTTTTTAAATTTAAAATATAAGTTTATTATAAATTATATTAAAATAAATTTAAATCTTTCTTAATATATAATTTTTATAAAAAATATTAAAATCGAGATAGATCCGGATCAAGATGTAATTACTTTCTTTTATAAATAAAAGAAGATAAAGATCCTCTTTCATATAAGAGTATTATAATTTTTGACTATAGGTAAATTTTCTTACATCCTAACCACTTTGTGACAAAATGATTTATTGCCCGCTCCGTAAAGAACAAAACATTGAGAGGAATGATTATTATCCGCTCCTAAGTGAAAAAGTAAATAAGATTGAAGGTAATAATTATGAGGAGTGTGAGTGACACGCTCCCTAGGGAGGAGTGGAGAGGGTGGGGGAGGAGTTTGTGTTGGAATAAACCACAAAGTCAAAGGGATTCAACTTGAATCACGTGAGATTCTTACAGGCTGGGAGTGGGCCCATCCTACGTGGAGGGCGTTGAAGTCATCTTCAAAACTGGTTAATTTTTTAACAGTGTGGTTGCTCTTTTGTTCCAGCGACGGTTGATTTGGAGCCGTTTGATCCAAGGAGGGCTATTGGATTTGGACTTACAGCTGTAAATCTGGTGCAACCAAAAGTTAGTCAAAAAAGTGAGCGGGCCCCACTTCCTTTGTTTTTGTTTTTGCCGTTTTAAAACGTTTGTTATATGTGTTAAACAGCTCTGCCTTTCCTGTCATGTTTTAAACGCTCCCGATAAGCATTGTGCTGGTGCGAGTACGAGAATGATTTTATTATTTTTCTTTTCCTTCCTCAGATCCATTGGTCTCCTTTTAATTCCATTTTTACCCTTATTTGAGTAACAAATTTCCTTTCTTTTTTTTTTCCCCTCATTTTCTTGATTATTTTGCCTATAGGTTCAAAGCTAGTAAGTATGATTGTGATTGTGATTGTGATTGTACTAAACAAGTCCTCCTTGATTTATCTATTTCAAGAAATTAGTTTAATTATATAATTTTTTTTATTCGGATGCTTGGCAGTTCATTTAAATCAGGAGAATATCTTATAACTTAATTTCAATATGTGTATAT